TTTTTTTTTTTTTTTTGAGAATGTCTTATACTCCCCTGATTCTGGGGCCCTTGGCATTTTTCCAGCTTCCTTACATAAAGTTGAAGGCTTCATACCATCAGAAGACTCCAGCAGTCACTACCACCACTGGAAATGCACGGTGTCCTAACCACTTCTCATTTTCCTTGGCTGTTCCTGAGCTGAGAGAATCAATATTGGGTGTTGCAGAAATAGCTCGTTGCCCATAGCCGCTATCTTTGGCAATTGCAACCTGGTGGCAAAGTGGGTTATTATAAGCTTTTCCCTTTACAGTGAGAAAGCTGTTAAGCGTACATAAGCTATCTGAAGTGTTGAGCTGAAAATAGGAATTTGGTGTCTTGGGACTGTGACTGGGTTTATTGTGGCTATTAAGGTAAGCTTGGGACATGAATAGTCGAGAACACAGCAGGGACATGTGAGGATAACAGCACCTGGTGAGTTGCTGGTTAAGCAAATGGACACTGAGAGCAGCAGAAGTCCAGATTTTCTGCTGGCCCCTTGAGAGACTCACAAGGCACTGAACTTTAGGGAACTAGAAAAGATGGTGCTCAGCTCTGTATATCACTCTATTGCTGTGTAGTATTCTGTCTTGCAGGTCGGTTTAACAGACTCACCAGGAATGAGATGCATTTTAGTGTCGTGTCTTTGATTTCTCTGCTACTTATATACCTTAACCTCACCTTAGCTCATCCTTCTTTCTCCCTCTTTCTCTCTTGCTGAATCAATGCACAAACAATATTTATCTGTCAGTACTTTTTTTTTTCCCCAGAAGTGATCTTTCTGTTTCCTTAAGAGATACTGTCCAGCTGCTAGTGTTCAAAAGGGTGGTGATTAGTGAACAGTAGTCAGAAACGTTTACTCTGCAAGCATTATAAGTAGTGCAGCTAACATTTTAATTATTTTCCCTTTTTTTATTTTATTCCTCAGTGTTATTTCTATAGTACAGAGTTAAATCTGCATATGAGAGATGAGGTCATATAGGATTTCACCTTGGATAAATGAAGCAAGAAAAAAAATGAACCAGCATTTCATGGAATGATGTAGCATGATAAAAATCAACTAAACTTTTGTTTCAGACTGCATGCAGTCTAATTTAATATTGCTGGTTTGAGGATTTGGTTTCTTTTCGAGAGGGTGGAGCAGACTTAGCACTAGAGCGTATCTTCTGAGAGAAAGGCTTATGTTTATTTTTTGGTGTGCTGTAGGACAAAAATGCTTCATTGTTGATAAGCAATCTGTGCATAAACAAAAGAGGCTATGCTCCTTGGTCTGTGCGGGCTGCAAGCCAAACATGTGCAAAGTTGCATAGAAATAATCCACAAGTACGATGCTGCAGAGGATTGTAGACTCCTTTTGCACATGTTTACTTGCAGCGTTCCTTTCATTCACAGCTATGCTTTCGAAATCCTTTTCAGCCACTAGATTAAACCTGAAATGATAGCAAGCTGAGATCAAGTCCTTTCATACCTAAAGTAACATCTAATAGCAAAAGAGCTTGCAGTCGCTAAAATAAGGTTTAGAGCAGACCAAGCCCAGAGCAAAACTGAACAGGGTTTTGGCAGTGTGCTAAGATCAGGAATCAAAATTATTAGGCCTAAAAGCTAGAAATAGGTTTGCTGATAAGGAAGTATTAGTCATATTAGACCTGGTACATGAGCAGGAGCTGCTTGACACAACAGCACAAATGAAGTGGTGATCAGAATTTTGTTTTGGTGACATATTGAAGTTGTAAAACATCGTAATTGTAATTGAATTCAACAGTAAAGCTCAATTAATGAATCATAGGTTTCTTTATCACTTTAACTGAAATAAACTGGGCATATATCAACATTAAAAGAGTATATATAAATTTTAATGGGGTGAAAGTAGAGATATTAGAACCTCTGCCAACCCAAGTTCTGAGTTGTAAAAACAATCTACGTGAACACGTGGCAAGGACAACTTTACTCTGCGCATGTGTCTGTGTAAATTCAACAGGAACATTTTCCAAGCCTAACACAAGCTTTGACAACCCAAATACCACTTGCTGCCATTGGAGTTTCTTTCCTAAGCACAGAAACAGTCGTTTGCTAGGGAGGGGTGAAGAAGATTCTTACCGTTGAAGTTTGAAGTAAAACAGAAAACATCATATCGGCTTTTATCTTTATCCCAGAACCCGTAATTCCTGACCCCAGGCACTGTGTTCTTCCCTCCGCAAGGCTCCCTGGGTTTGGTGATGGGGTACTGCACGGAGCCATCACTGAGCCAGCCGGCATTACACCAGTCCAGCCCTGACCTCCAGGCATCGTAGAGCTGGTCAAAGGAGGCGATAACAGAGTCTTGGTCCAAACACGCTTGCTGAGCCTCGTGGAAGTTTAAGTTGTAACGGCCCAGCCGTGGAGAGTAAGGGAATACGACACCTAAAGTGGTAGAAAGAGGGTGAGTTACTGGAAAATGAAAGAGAAGAAGAAAGGGAAACAGCATTTACAGTCACCAGAAGGAGAAATAATGGTTTAATCCATGATGTGTGTCAGACTGTTAAGTTGTTTTATTTCTGGGGAAAAACGCACTGTTGGCACCTCAGCCATTAGTTCTGAGAAGGGGATAGGGCTGCCACCTTACCTAGCCAGCTTGTCTCCCCGTAACCTCATTCCTTTCCCAATGGGAACTGCGCCAGGTCAGCACGTTGCTCCCATCTGCAGCTTTACTGAACCCACTGTGATTTCACCCTCATGGACTCTGAGGGTGCCTAAAGATGAGCAAAGCTGGCTGAATTCTTGCAACTACATGTTTTTCATCAGAAAATTCCAGTTTATCAGCTGTAAGATCAATTTCTCATTTAAAAAAAGTAAGTTAAACCCCATCTTAGTTCTATTTTTTGTGAGATGGGATTTAGGGATTTCCTGGCAGTCCTTTAGAAAGAAGAAATTGTAGAGGCATATGAACTATTTCTTTTTATGCACAGACATTGAAATGAAATGTTTTGATTGACACAAAAGAGTGCTATGTTCTTTGCATGGAACCTTGCCAAGATTTCCTGAGGTTCAAGACAGTTGGCTTTTTGTTTGTTTGTTTTTATTTTATTTCACATTATCCTAGGAATGGGAAAGTATTTCATACCTGGCTTAATAACAACATTGCAAGGCTAGACTGGTAGGAGGCATAATTTTAGTGTCCCGAGGTTTTTAAAGTAGGAAATCTATAGGGAAGTAAAATCAGTGAAGTCGTGTGTGGTTTTAGGGAGACTTTTCTGCTACTTTCTAGATGTTTTTTGGCAGTCTGTCACCACTCAAGGAGGGAGAGCTCCTCACAGAGGGCATCATCAGGGAGCACATTTCCTTGAGTAGAAGACAGGTTTCCCTAATTGCTGATGGTAAGCCATGTAGCACACAGCATGCAGCAATGCAAGACAGCCCCAGTAAGAAGCCACGTGAGACAACACCTTCTCTTGCTACCCATATGGCTGCCAAAAGCACCGCTGGCTTAACCAAAGGACGCTTGCTGGAGAGGCACTGTGCAATGAGCATGGACCTGCCAAATGCTGCCTTGCACCCCTGAGGACCAGCCACAGGCCAGCCCAAAGCCCTGTCTGTAACTCATCGGTGCTGAGCCATTGCAGACAAGAATGGCAGAGAGACAGTTTCCTAACAGAGGATATCCAAGTGGAGATGCGAGAGGTGGGAACAGCTCCAGAATTGTTTCAGCAGCAACATTTAACAAAGTCATTGCCCTTATCTGACAACTTCTTCCACAGTATATTTTCTGCTTGTTTTAAGAAAAAGATCTGTAGTTAAGTTAGATTACTTCTTGAAGCATGAAAGATGTTTCAGAAAATGCTGAAGAACCACCTTCCCCTGTGGCTCCGATAAAAAGAGAAGAGAGACTTGAAACAACAGTTTGGACCTGACCACCCTAATCTTTGGCAGGGTTTAGAAACTTAACTTAGATCTAAATTTTATAGTTGGCTTTAGCCCAGTCTCATAATAGGCTGAAATAAAATGGCATCAGAGAAGATCCAGCTCAGAATGTTTATTCTCAAACATCTCTGTAGAACTAAGTGCTGTAGGATGCAGAGGGACTGAAGACAAGATAACACATGAGATGAGCCAAAAAGTTTACACTGGTATAAACACCCATCTTTCTTTTTACTTTCTCCCTGCTGATGAATTCTCCTGCCTGTAACAAGTTCCTTGTCTCCCGGGCAACGTAGCATAGGATAGAGAAATTACGTTATGGTCATGCAAGACTGTCACCATACAATGAAGCCATTCTTCTTTCCAAACATTCAGACCCACTTCGGTATCTATCTCACTGATATCTTAACGTTTCCTTTCTTTCTCTTCTCTCCCTTGCCCATCTATCGTCCAAGAAGTGTCATTTTTGTTAAAAAAAAAATCTTTGTTACTAGTAAATCTCAGTGACTTGGTCCAAGAAAATAAAACATGCAAATGTAAACTTGGAAGGGTAATAACAAACAATATTTTGGTCTCCTTCAGCAATTAACTAGACAGTCTGCTAAGATTCTTTCCTTTTGTAAATCCTTTGTTAAAGGGCTTTTCAGTTATTAGCTGTTCTGAACTATAAAGCATGAAAGTAATGTTACATAATATGTGCTGTTAATTGTAACTTCATAAACAAGAAGCTGTAGATGATTCATATTTTTCTGGATCTCTGTTTTTCCTTCCTCCTCCTCATCTCTTTTTTAAAAAATTATTCATTCTCCCTCAGTGCTAATGGACAGAATCATCACTGGCTATAACAAAAATGTAACAAATGTCAGAGGAGTTCAAGGTTTATTACTTTATTAGAAATCCAATACTTACTATTTTTCCAGAGCTCCACTTCCCCAGACAAATGACTCTTTGTCCAGTACATGTATCTGATTTGCATATACATGTAAAAAAAAAATCCTAAAATCATTGGAGGTGGGTATTTTTTAATCAAGATCTAAACTTACACACTTCCAAAAACTGAGCAACAATTAATAGGAAACTAGTCAAACAAATATAATTCCTTAAGCTTCGCAAAATCACTTTTTAAAAGGGGTTAAATATGTATGTAAATTTGTTACAAATCTATTCGAGTTTGACAGTTTGGGACATAATGTTTTAATAACTTAAATGTGCACAAAACTGTAATATTAGCTTTGGGCTATATTCGGGTAGACTGCATAGAAGCTGACTTTTGTTTGAGTTCATCTGCAGTACAAGCCTGCAACTGATTAGCATTAATTTCACCCTGCAGATGGGGGTGGCCATCGGTGATTTTGTAGAGCAAAACTGACTGGGTATGTGGGTTTTGTAGCCTTGCATTATCTTGCATCTTTGTTAATATTTTTTTTTCTTCTTCATTTCCCTGTCAAACCTAGCTGAAATTCATAGTGAGATCTTACTATTCAACTTGCTTTTGTTACAATCTAGCAGTGCTGAACTTTAGCTAATTGCAAAGCGTCTTCTTCAGTCTTGGATCTTACAACCCATCAGAAGATAATGCATCCCATCTGTTCTTGAATGGACAAAAGCCATCCTGAAGCTTGTTACTGTTCCCAAACGACAGACTGAACATAAACTCCTGACTCCAATTCTGTGTTTTACCACTAGACAAAACACCCATTTCCAAATGTTAACAAATTCAGCTTAAAAAATGGAGAAAGATAGAAACTTCCAGCCTCAGATGGTTAAAATCTGGTTAGTTGGTGGGAAGACCTTAGTGATTCGCTTAGTAGTCCCCTGCCTACCCTAAGGAAGAAGCTCAGCCACTTGTGGAGCCTGGATGGGAAATATTCATTTACAATATCGAGTTCACAGTCTGGCTCCTCTCCCAAACACCCTGTTCTCTGGAATAGGTCCTACCCCCAGAGGAGGACCTCCTTTCCTCCGAGCAAGAGAAGAACCTGAGACACATCAATGCAGTGGAGAATAAATCTGTTGGTGAAAGAGGAGGGCTGGGTAAGGCTTGCTGTACACACCTGTGACAATGCAATCACAGTCCAGAAAATGACTGTTTTAACAGAAATTAGGATTTCTACCAAATTGGAACATAAGAACTGGATGTATGACATACCTTCCCCACATGCACATCTGTATTTCCATGAATGCCTTACATTTGATTCCGCAAACGTACAACTCTGCTTTGGTTACTGTGGTTTTTAGGGAATGCAAAAGAGATGATATTTGTGTGTCCTCTGTAAGCTATTTGTATTTCAGAGTCTTAGATGCAAGTAATCCCTAAAATTCAGTGCAAGTGCTTTGCAATTACTCAGTCTCTACAGACACATTGTCAGGGCAAGGAGCTGTAACAGTTACCCAGGACAACAAGGCGAAGAAATAACCTTAGAAAGCTCAACTCCTGTAACAATTTACGGGTGTCTATTAAGCCAGCACCATACACAATTAGCAGTTTTAAGAGTATTTACACATAGAATAAAATAACAGAAATTTCTGTTGACTCATATGGAAAACAAGGTCTTTTTACAGCCAGAGTCAAGAAATGGGTTTCCTTGAGTTCTAGCCCAAACAGAAAAGTAAGTTTTCTTGTAGCCAGTGTAAACACAGGGTAACAGTAGGGTTTGCTATATACTATACTGTAGGGTACAGTTTTATGCTGGCAGGTTCATACGCTTGATGGCAAACTTTTCCATGCTGGATTTCTAAAATTCTGTAAAAAGTGTGAAGTCCAACTGTATGAGATTCAGCTAGATCAAGTGCCGGGTCCTGCACTTCAGT